TTGAAAATGGTGCTGGTGTTTTTTATAAGCCATTTAGATAAGCAAACCCAAATTTTCTATTTATAAGTATGAGATGTGTTAGAAGCCTGGAGAAAAGGCTGTCACCAGCTGAAAAATTAAGCCTCCAAATAGTCCTGCAGCAAAACAAGATTTGAAACTCTTGGTTAAAAAGAAAGATGGGGTAAGTGTGGAGCAGGGAAAGAACAACCATGAGCTGATAGTGGAGTGCTGAAATAGAACTCGGGGAATACAAAGAAGTGTGTGACAGATTGCAGAACCCAGGAGCTCCCTTGGAGCCCTCCCTGTGGCATCAGTCACCAGGATGTATTTTCTTACCTGATGCTTTGTTTTAATCTGCACAAGGGTTTAAATTGGGTAACCTCACACAACCCATCACATTTTGCAAGTTGGAATCATGGCAGAAATAAGAGGGGCTAATGGGTATAAATGCAGTTTTCATGAAGCTGCCCAGCAAAACTGGAGTTCTGGGTTTCTGCCCGTGTTGGTTTCTGCCTGTAAATCCCCAAATGCTTTTAGCTGAGGACCTGCCACTCTAGGATGATTTCTATTTCTGGTCAGTTCTTTCTGTTTTCATCATTCTCTTTTTTCTATCTTGAGTATTTACATTGAAAAATACTGCATTAATCAGATGCTCTGGAAATGTGCTTGTTGCCTTCGTTCCAGATTTTCTTCTCAGTCCAGGGTTGTGTGCCATAAAGTGTTGTGTTTCTGTGGCTGTCTCTTCATAAATCTCAGGTCATTGAATGATTTGGAGGACACTTGGATACTTTTAAATAAATAGTCTCCAGTACATCTAATTCTCTATAGTTTTTTTTTTCTCCTAAGTCAAGTGTTAATGGCTGTTGTTCATCTACTCCAATACTTGTATCTTCCCATATTTCTCTTCTTTTTTTACACCTTGAATTGTAAAAATACCATTCAGATGTATTCTAATGAATTCTGAATCTTCCTGTCTAAATATAAAGGCATATTTGGTGCATTACACAAACAAATTCTGCTAGAGATCTTTCAGCCCATATTTCCCATGTGCATCACTGAATGTTGGTGTTTGGAAGTCTCCTGTATGTCAGCTCTTGCTTTGCTAATCTGATACTAAGTGAATTAAAAAATGCCCTGAAACGTTTTGTCCTCTGCAATCATGAAAGCAAGGCTAAGCATTTGACAAACTCTGTTCCTGATTTTGAGAATTAGGTGTGTCCTGTCACTTTTAAAAATCCATTTTGCAGAAGCCTCTTCTGCCGAGTGATCCTCTAACAGTTCCATTTCAGATTCATGACTTACAGGAGTGTCTATGATTAGGTACCATTTTATCATTTGTTTGGTTAATGTATCTGTATTCAATAGATCATTTCCCTATCACTAGTTACTGAATATTCCCTGGAATGAAAGGTTTCACTAATAACTGTATACAGGCAGACTTCCAATAGAAGGAGGCTAAAATTATAAGCACTTTATAAAAAAAACTTTCTCTTTAAAAGTCAGGTCTTATTTCAGCAAGATTGCTGGTGGCTCCAATTTCATGTTCAGGCTTCTTTGGCATTTCATTGGAGGCTAGGGTGAAACTCCTTTCTATATATATATTTTACTCTAAGCCCCTGCTAATAAGTTATTCCAATAGATTTTCTTTAATGGATTTTCATCTTCTTACAGTCTGAGTCTATAGTATTTTTCATTCCTGATTTCAACTGTTTCAATTACTAAATGTAGTTCTTAGAGTCCTTTGAACAAGAAGGGCACTCTTTATAGAGTGTGGGAGCATAAACCTTTCCTAAGCTACTGTCACAAGCCAGTTGTGTTATTCAGTAGTGCACAAAGTAGGCCATAGTTTATTCACTGTAATGCTGAAACAACCAAATGTCAAACCAAAACATCAGTCCTGTACATTAAGATGAGGGAAAATTATGTCTGCCATCCAAATTAGATGATATTTGAACTTATTGCTTAAATAAATAGGACAAAGTTCCACTCCAAGTTTTGCAGATTTTTGAATTTTCCCTTCCCAGATACATTCCAGTGTTTCCTTTAGCCATCACCTGTGCCTCAGCATTGCAGCACAGACATGATAAACTGTGTCAAATGAGCTGCATTCCCAAGGAATGTGGCAGACCAAGTAATAGACTACTTTATTCTAGTAGGAGTAACAGGTCAAAAATAGCAGGTAACAGTTGTGCTCCTCAAGAACACCCCCAGCTCATCTCCAAAGAAATTAATCACTTATCCCCACTGGTGCTTATTACTGCAGTGGTGGCTGTAAGTGTCCTGTGATTTAGAATTTGCATGTGACTAAAGCATAGTTTAATCAGGTTTTCTGACTATGAAAAAATAAGAGTAAGGAGTAAAAAGTCTGAAAAATACAGTAAAGAGACTGAAACATAGTGCTAAAAAAATTAAACTATTCTGATAGGAGAAACCATATGGCCTATTCAGGTAGAAATACCAGTACTAGAAGAAATAAGTGAGATGCGAGTTTTTATTTTTGTCTTAACTTACACTGTTACAGCACTTAAGGGCCTCGGTTCCTCTGTGTCTCAGGACTTCAAACAGGAGCTGATGTTTTAAAAGTATTTGAAATACTGATCATGCTTCCATGAGCATGATTGTGTTATTTAATTCTAATATAGTGCCTCCTTAAATTAGGCATTCTCTATAGATAATTTTCATACATTCAGTCACACAAACATCTTGGGATTTAAAGTGCTTGTGGTTTTCCTGAATTTCTGTGAGAACAGCTTTCTTGGCACTGCCCCGAGACTGGCAGCAGCGCACAGTTGCAATGTGCTGTGTGAATGGCATCCTGGGGCAGTTTGTTCTGCCCAGTTATGTCCCTACACCTTTCCCCAGTGTGCAGGAGATCTCAGCAGAGCAGAGGGAATGGTTTCCATTGCAGCAGAAGCACGGCTGTGGTTCCACAGTGGGGGAGCTGGCCCTGCGTGGCTGCACACGGTGACTGCGGGGACACAGAGATGGAATGGGAACCCTGCTGCTCAAGCTCACATTTTAATAATTTTTGAAGTGCACTGAAAACTGAAATGGGTTTCTTGCTCTGTTGAAAGAATGATAGGACTTCTAGGACAGAAATGGCGAAAATTCAGCATAAGGAATGGCACAGTTGTAAGCCAGGTTGTTGATGTTGATGTTTCCACTGTTCATTGCTTTAGATATATGTTGTCTGAAAGAAATGGGCTGGATTATCAGGCGGTGTAAGTTGTTTTAAACATCTTCCTTATGCATTTCAAAATATTTGAAGCAAGTTACTTCAGTTTGAGGTGTCACAGTCTGAAAAATACATTTCTCCAATGGAAACTTCTAGCAAAAAAACATAGCCAGGCAGCTTCTTTCTCCATCTTTCCAGCTTATCTGAATCCTGAGGACATCTTACTTTTCTGTCTGCATAGGAAGCAAGTATATGTCAAAAACTATTTAAATAACTGCCTGAAATCCAGATTTATGCTGACAGCCTGTGCTTCCTGCTTGGTGTGATGTGATTGGAAATTGTTATGCTTAAGTAACACAGGTTATGATAAGACAAGGACACTTCTGACTAAAAGCACTGCTAGCAGATACCTAAAACACCTGCTCATTTTAATGTGAAAGTGTGTGAGCCCTGAGGTTTCTGAATGTTGCAATTTTTATTAAACATTTGCAAATGTCAGCTGCATCACATGAAGGAATATTAGCTAAAATTCAATGCAATAGAAAATATTTTGTATACAGGACATTCATAGTCATATGGGATATTAAATCCACTCTTGATTTTTCTCCTTAACTGTACAAACAGAAGCCCTAAAATCCAGAAAGGTCTCGTGCCATCGAGGCACTGGGCACGTATTGCCTTGACCATTGTAAAACAGGATTTCTCCTGCTGCTGCAGTCTCATTTTGGGTTTCTAGGGGGTTGCTGTGTCCCTCCTCACACAGCACTTTTCCTGTATGCTTTCTATGAGCTGACATTCTCCAGGTTGGGAGCACACTGAGCACCTTAAATTAGCACATGGGCCTGTTGCAGCCCAGTATTCCTGCTATGTACCAAGAGGATTTTGCCTGCTGGTTTTCAGTTGCATGCCTTGGAAGGGTAACTAAGCTCTCCTGAAACCGTATGTTCAAAAGGGTATTTTTTTTTTGGGCTTATTTGACTTTCTTTGCCTCTAGCATGGCTTTTATATTTAAATCTCCCAATAAACTTGCTTGATATAAAAGGTGTATAGTACAGACACATCTTCTGAAGTGTAGGAAATAGAAAAGTAGATTTTTTAAAGTTGAAAGGCAGTTTGTAAAATTTTAAAATATCAAAACCAGAATAAGATAGTTGAAGTCACGCAAGTAGAATGAGGAACCAGACTGTTGTATCAGCAGAAGAAAAACATTAGGTTAATCTGTATTACAACATTCTGAAAGAATACAGAGCTTTGAAAACAGCTTTCACTAGGGGGTGGGACATTTTACTTTTATGTAGAGCTTTTGTTCATTTAGAATTGTTTACTCCAGCAAGCAACCCTGTGCTCTTTGTTTGACTGATTTTTCCCATTTGGCAGACCCTTTGCAATCACATGGATAACATTCTTCTTTCCACTGAGACATAGAGAAACTATTCTTTATTGACCTTGCTTGTTGTCCTAAGTGACAAAAATATATTTATATGCTAGGTGAACTGAATGACTTCATCACTGACTTTTAATTGAAAATTCTTCAAAGCAAAAACCTCAAAGAGCTGCTTTCAATTTTTTTTAAACAATCCAGTGGCTTCTTACTAGCTCTGCCCGCAGCTACACATGCACAACTCCCACAGCTGGCACAAAGATCTGTGTGCAAGTATCTGAGTGCTGAAGCTGTGTCAAAACATGAAAAAAAAATGCCATGCAAAGAAGAAATACACGTTTTGGGTCAGGCAGGGGATTTTTATTTATTATTGAACAACAGAGTATTTGCTGTGGAAGTATGGATGTTTCTGTGCCTGTTAATTTTTTTTTTTTATGGTTGCAGTGGGAAGCAAATCAGAAGAGCTGGACTAACGTACACAAAATCCTTCAACATCTCAATTTTAGCTTCCTCACTAAAATTGCAAAGCACAGAGCTCATGGACTTTGTGATACTGATTTAGAAACACTTTTAGCATTAAAGTTTTATATGTGAAGTATTGTAAATCAAAGGCAGGTTATGTAAGGACCCAGCATGCCGAGACAAAATTCAGTCTTAGTCTAAGTGAGCACAATTCTGTTAAAACAGATGGAATGGGGCACATCTAGCCAAAAATGTTGAATCTGTGTTTATCTTGTGTTCCTGAATGCTCACTTAAAACCTTTTCTGACAGGAACAAAACTCTGGGTGAAATTAAATGTGGTTCTACCCATACGTAGGCAAGTGTTAAATCTTCATTTATCATAAACTGGACTTCTCTGACTCCTGCAGAGCTACAACAATTTGCACAAATCCAGGCTATGTTCAGAATGGTCTAATTTGCAGAAACACTGTGCCCCTGCCATTCCAATGGAAGGCAATGAGAGCTGGGGCTGCTCTGCATTTCTGCAGGGGAGAAAAGTCAAAGGCCCTTTTGTTACCACTTAGCACATGTGCTGAGAAAGTGTAGAATTAAGATCCCAGTGTCAGCATTTTCAGCAATCTTATGCAGGCTACTTACTTATATCAGGTCCAAGCACAGTAAAAATCAGATTGGGCCCCTTGCTAAGGAACCCTTGTTATTTTTTAACTTACCCCTGTCAAGAACAGTTCTATTTATGCCTTTATAATTTCACAATTAGAGAAGATAGTAGCAGAACTAGAAATAATTCCATGTAAGTCAAAGGTGTAGCTGTTTTGACTAATAAAACATGGGTGGTCTCTAGCATTTGCTGTGGTTCCACATGGATTTCTTCCTTCACTTGCACAGACTTTGTCTTCACTGTTACGCCAGTACCCACCCCTTGGGTTTTTTTCTTGGTTGGTGATGATTGTTCTTGCACCAGATCTGGAAAATCAAACAATTTGAAGAAAAAACTCTCATTCTGCACTCTTCAAGCCCAGCTGAATTCTTCAGTCCCGTTCTTTTCACAAGCACAAGCAATTGAACCAGAACAGGAAACTGCTGAGCCAACAGGGGAAAAAAAAATATCCCTTTTGTGTTAAGAGTTTGGCTGCTGAACTCCTTGAGTGGCTCACCATGGGTTTGAGAGGTGCCAGAGCTGAGGGTAAGTGTGGGAATGTGGCCAAAGGTGCAGGAATGTGCTTTAGGAGCCCTTTTCTTCAGTTTAACTTTGCTTACATTGAGGAACTGCACCAGGGGCAATCCTGTCTGTGGCAGTGGTCACTGCAATGGAAAAAATCTGTGTGGATTTTAAAACCAAGTGGACACAAACATTGTAAGTAAATAGTAAAGCCTTTATTCTCGTTAAGAACAGCATTTTGAAAATAAAACATTTGCCCATGCTTTACAACCTTTGTAGTTTTGTATACTTATGTACAGTCATCATGGTACACATTGATTGTCTTGAAAATCCTTTAAAGATGTCCTTAATAAGATACCAGTATGCAACAATCAGCGGAAAAAAGGGTACGTTATAAAACACACGTTAATACATTTAATAAATACATATTATCTATCAAAAATGAGCTTTTGCTCTCATCAATTAATAAAAAGCACCTGCTTTGTAATCCTGTAAGTTGGTAGAATAATCCAATTGTTTTATTATAAAAGCTACAATGCTCCCTTTTGTATGGCCTTTGGTTAGACCCAAGGCATCGAGCTCAAACAAAGCCAACCAAGATGCCTGTGTTTAGACTAAAAGCAGACACAGCTAATTCTATAGTATTTCATGTACCTTGTTTATAGAAACAGCTGGATGTGTTGAGAGTGTTCTTCTGAAGATGCTACATATTTCCTGGCAAGTGTCAAACACCCTCAACCCATCTGAAAGCGGGACACGATCTGTAGGACTTGGAACTCTTTTCCTGCCATTGATCAAAAGCTGGTCATTTTAAATCTTGTTTTGCTAACAGATGCTTTTTGATTTCCTTTTTCTGCATGGAAACACCATGAGCACATAACCATCAAGGGACAACATAGTAGCTTTTATAGTATAAAAGCTAATTATAATCAGGAGAACTGCGAAAGGCTTGTGCTTAGTTACTTATTCATGTTGTTCACAGATGCTCTACATTCTAGAAAACTTTCAAAAAAGGCAAAAGTAAATACTGTAACAAAAATATAAGTTAACATAAAGGTGCCTTTCTTCAATTACAGTTTTATTTTGGAGCATTTTACATCACAGACTAGTGACTTACAAAAAAAAGTTGCTCATTACTAATTGTATAAAGTTGGAAAATAAAGACCCTCCTAAATCTATTGCCACACTTTCACCACCACACATTAAACCCAATCCTGCTAATTTTTAATTCAGTGAATAGTCCACATGACTAACCCAGTGAGACTAGTCATGTGAATTGCAGTTTGTAAGATCTGGCCATATCTTTGCATAAGCCCTGAAATTCCAAACAACTTCATCAGAAGCAGGATTGGGAATTCTATTTATCAATTCAGTCACATCTAGAAAAAGAAAAAGCAAGTTTCTTAAGATAACAATGTCCTGTATAGATTTTGTCAAAGGTCTGTAAAATGTGTATTATAATTCATAAGTCTTGGTTGTAGCATGATAAACTTTTTAAAAGAAACCTATCCTACCATTTATGCCATGGTCATCTTATATGTTTTTATGGTAAGAGTTTTACAAGGGATTTTTTCTAACTGATTTTTAAAAGCAAAATTCTGCAAGCAAGTGGTGGCAATAATTTTTTTTATTGTTCCAAATTACGTGTCTTCTGGGTGGCTATCATTATCTTAAATATCTTATTTGATCAACGCTCTGCTCATAACAAGCAAAATGTATTTCTAAGTCACTGGATAGCATGCAATATCCACCCCTACCCTACTTGGTTACTAAGGCCATCTAGTTACATACAAAATGAAATAAAGGATCCCTAAAACAAGCACATGCTTCCTTTGCCTCGAGGAGGGGAGGGCAGGGGGGAGCTGACATACTCCTTCACTCATGCATGACAGAAAAACATTGCTTCTGGAGGAGAAGGGCTTTGAAATAAAACCCCATAAGATGATCATGGCAAGAATGGCAATAGATATTTTCCCATATATATATATACATATATCTGTGTGCAACACTTAGGGACTGGTCTTGCAGCCTCTGTACCTTACGAAGACCTACTGGTGTCCATGGGACTACTCGTGGGAGTACAGGTCTGCAGGACTAGGCTCCTAATTCAGTAGAAATGGAGGTACATGAGGGATCAGGAAGACTCTTGAAAAATAAAAAGCTTGTCTTTCTTCTACAGTATACAGCAAGTAACTTCTCTCTGTGAAGCTACTAAGCTATTCAGTTATTTGTACTTTTTTTTTAGTTTGAAAATATATATTTTTATTACAGCATATGCAAAGTTTAATTGTTATACGTTTCCTATGCCTTCAAGTAAAAACAATTAGCTTTTAGTATTGAGGAAAGCTAAGATTAACATTGGCCAAACAGTAAGGATACAGTGATGTTTTCAATGTCCGATATGTATTAAATGTTAAAGAAAGGAATGATTGCTTGAACATAATGAAAAACCATGGCACAACAAATGGGCAGTGGGAACTGTTTAAATAACCTGGAGAAAACGAAGATGAAAAGCTTTGAAAAGTCTGCCTTATATCAACTCAAGAAAATGGACGGGGAGGGGAGGACTAGGGAAGAAACCACCTTAAATAAACAAAAACAACAACAAACCACCTCCAGCACAGAGATTCTACTCTCTAGGCACTAAATGCACAACCACATGTAAATGCACGAACAACTGCAGTCGAGGGGAGCGGACTGCTCGTACGAACGGGGGCTCGGGGGTCTCACCCTCTGCGCTGCCAGCCCTGCCTGGCCCCCGGCCCGGCCCAGCCCAGCTCAGCCCAGCCCAAATCAGCCCAAACCAGCCCAACATCCCTCGGGCAGCGCCTTGGGCTCGCCCCAGGGCTCATCCCTGCGGCCGGGCGCTGCCCCACGCGTGTGCCGGGCCCCCGGAGCCCACGGAACAGCTCGGCAGGCAGCCAGCGCGGGACTTCCCGTGGCCTTGGAAATGACAGGAAAAGGAGGAAAATGGAAAGAAATCCCGCGTGTTTTCACACCGTAGCGGCAATCTCTTGTGGCAACATGAATTAAGTTTAGGTGAGAGGAAGGTATTTTGCAAGCAACTGGCAACTACCAAAACCAGGCTTGCCTGGCACACAAATTACAGACAGGAGAATATCTTGCACTTCAGAATACAATATCCCCTCTGCCAATTTAAGGTGTGCCTACTTCTGTTTTAAATTAGATTCAGCTTCGGTTTTACAATTTTGCTTTTGCAATTCTCCATTCAGTGGTGTTCACATTTAGGCAAAATCCTCAGCAGGATTTAGAAAGATCCTGGATGTTTTGTTGCTTTGTTCTGGTACTGTTATGGATTCCTTCCCTCAAAGACACACTGCCAGGGAACAACATCTGCAACAAGGATTCTTACTCTCTACAGCCTACAGCCTTTCACCAGAGGTGTCGTCCAGTGTAACTTGGCGGAGCAGTTGGTATCTGGAAATAAGGATAATAAACCCATAACTGAGAGATCTAGACTGTTCAAAAATCAGTGTTATCACGCTACAGGTACACAACAAGCTTTCCAGATGGTAGTTCTAGAGCAAAGTGATACAAAGAAACTCATCTTCCACCCATACAGTGCATTTTTCTCTCTGTAAAACCATGACTATATATACACATGGGCTTTGTATCCAGCTCAGAATAAAGCAATACAAACAAAACAAATTCTAAAGCTTCTCATCCTTTAACTGCCTTCTCCCTGAGCTGCACATTCTGGCAGAGATGAATTAAAACATCAGAAAGATGCAATCCATTAATGACAGCAAAGCCAAGCCTTTTCATTTTACTCAAGTTGACATGTTTCACAGAGTCTTACCCACGGGGAATTCTTGTATCTATTACCTCTTGTCCACTAAAATCAACCAAAACTTTACTTACTTAAAAACAAAACCAAACCTCCAATCAGTTCATTTTAAACTGGTTTTAAATGTAGAGGTTGAGTTATGGAATCAGCTCATGATTCAAAAGAAAGAAAGCCCAACTCACATGAGCACAAACTGGCTCATGAGTAGATTTTTAAGCAGCATGTAAATATGCATGGAAAATGTGGGGATGAAAATTTTTCTTTTTCAACAGTATGCCTTCTACATGAAATGTCTTAGGTGAAAATTAGACATAATGTGAAAAACATTTGTACAGTCTGTTTGGCATCACTATATAAATCTTACAACAACCAGGCTGCAAAATACAGGTCTATCAAAGATATGCCAAACCATTGTCCAAGGAAGAAAAATTGATGCTATTAACATGAAAATATTCTATATTCCTCTTTTATCAAAAAGGGATTCCTTTTTGAATCCCTTTTCAAAATATGTACAAATATGTAAGTTACAAAGAATTATGTGTATTTTACAAGAAAATGGAATATATGTGAGAGACAACCATTATCTACAATTATTTAAAGTAATGTACTCTCTGAAAACATCTGTGTAACTCACACCATCTTGAAAAAAATCAGGTTAGAAATGGTGTCACTTAATAGTTATGTTAAATACCTTAACACAAATTTAATTTGAAAGGGCCATTGAATATGTTGACTTGCAAAAAAACTTGGTTCACTGAAGCTGCACTGCTAAATGTGAATAGCCAAGTAAACATATGCAAAATACTTGTTAACTACATATTTTCTAGAGGGAAGGGAAACATTACATGCATACTTGCTGCCTTAAATTTTCATTTATAGGTTTCGCCCTGCTGTGAATAAGCTAAAGCAGGTTTTTCAATTAGTAATGGTTGTATATCTCAGTGCATTTCAAAGATTTCTTAAATCATCACATTTTGATACTTACAGTCCCACCATTTAGCACAACTGCCATCTCAGTTGGCTGATAAACATTGCTTCTAAAAGGAGCACTAGGCCGGCTTCCCAAACTGCCGTTCCGAAATCCCGCCGTTCTTAGCGCTGTTTGGAAAAGAGAGATCACTCTTAGAACACAATTAAAGCTGTGCAATCACAGAGTCTTTTCCCTCCAGTTTAGTTATTGGGAACTTTGCCACTGATTTTAACTTTCATGTTGCTTTTGAACAGCTGTTTCCCTTACATGTTGGGAATGGATCTCAGAAAAATCAGATTTACATTAAATGAATTGTTTCTAAGGAGGGGGAAAAAGGAACCAAATTTTTGAAGCTTGCTTAATCTCATTTCAGTGGGAGCTCAGTGTCTTTAGTCACCAAACCTGTGATGTATCTTGCACAATTTGTTTTGCAAAGTGCTCCCTGAGTTGGTCTGGATACTGTGGGGTTAAGTAAAATGTGTTACAGACTTTGCTTTCTATCAAACTCAGTGGACAGGGATCCAAAGCCTTGCTCAAGCCAGTAAGCAATGCTCACAACCCCCTGAGCATTACTTCAGCATGACTAGCACATAAGGGTTTTCCAGATGTTTCAGATTATATTTACTCTGAGAAACTAAAAAGATGGAGTAAATATTGCTTTTGAACAGCTTAAACATGGCAAATCACTGAAGCCAAAGAGAAGATACTGAGTGTCCTTTTGAATGTTTATACCAGGAACAAAACAGTCTCCCCATTAATTTTAGTACAAGTTTGGGTTCAAGATGTAAATTCTGAATGAGATATGCATAATGAGGGACATGCTGCTCTCTCTAAAGCAGTCTGAGGATTGGCACATACAAACTCCCTCTTTAATTTTGAGGGTAAATAATGACTTCAGCGAACTCAAGACGTGGCCAGGGAACAGAGCTCATTTATCCACACAATGTGCGTGGTCACAACGGGCAAAACTCATCTGTCAGCTGCTAAATATAAACATGCCCAGTTCAGGCACCTGGGGCAAGAACTTCTCTTAGATTTAGTTCAAATTACAATTCTACAGTCTCTGGCTGAAATCATGAATGAGCTGAAATTTATGAAAATTTCAGCAGAGACTTTAATGAAGCCAGGATTTATCTCCAATGTAGTTGCTCTGTGTAGAAGATTTAAATGGATCCTAGTGCCATATGCTGTCCTCTATCCACTGCTACTTCTCTCTTTGGGAGTTGTGCACCAAGATGAAGCACAGTACTGATTTAGCATGGAAATTTAGAAATTCCACCCTGCAAATGCTCAGCTGTTGACATCAGATACATATAGACCCTCACTTGCTCTCTATTTGGAAATTACATATTTTTGCAGAACACTGGGAGAAAAAATTATGAAAATGCCTAAACTGGAACTAAATATTTTTTATTAGATATTTAACCATCTCAAGGTCAGTAACTTTTTTTTTGCTATTTGACTGCTTCTTTTGTGATAAACACACATGATTGCACTGGTATTTGCTAGTACACGCAGACACAAAAAAAACCCTGTATCATGCACACCATCATAAAAGTATTTATACAGGATATTTACACAAAATATATGTCATCATTTCAAAGCTATCTTAAAGAGCCAGTAAATTCAATTTCACATTGCTAAATTTTCCCCATTACTGCAAACAGCTACACTTTTTTGACATGAGAATCTGTGACAAAGCTTGTAGGCAAAATACTCATTTTGGATTCTTTTTCTCACACCAGTTTTACTATTTTTCCTTGTACTTTTTACATTACTAATTAATAAATCCACTTGCATAGGGTATGTATAGGTTAAAAAACAAGCAGTACTGAGGATATTTGATATTGTCAATGCCTCTTTTTAACACTTTTGAAATTTTGTTCACTTTGCTTTTAGGCATTGGCTGTGACGATGACTGGTAGTACTAGAAGTTATTAAATGAAATTTAATGATACCAGAGCTGCTTGGGCTTGGGTTTCCTGACAGCTGTAGCATTCTACATTTCACATCCAGATTTCTCTTGTTTAAGGAAAATTCTCTCTGCCTACAGAGGCTGCCCTACTCGTGTGCACTGCACTTCCAAAGGGCACTGAGAACTCAGTCAACTGCCCTTTGTCCTGGCTTCCTAAAGACTTTAATATAAGTTTAGAAGGCACACCTATGAAAATAACTCTTCTAAAGAGATATTTCAACCTATCATATCCCAGATTTGTATGCTCTTTAAATGATGTTTAAGTTAGTGACTTTAAAATAGGTTTGCTTTATTAATGTTTAATGTTGTTCCTGGAATAGAGCAGCTCTTGTTGCAATGCACACCTTGAAGGTACATTTTTGCTAAGAAAGAAGGAATCAAGGAGGAAATATGCTTGTTTGAACCTGAATGCTGTTCAGATTCCTGAAATGCTGCTTAAAATCTTTAAAAAGAGCAAAGTTATGAAATTGTTTTATACAAATATTAGTGGAAATAAAAAGAATTAATGGAAAATATGTTTGTCCAGGCATATTTTCTACTTTTAACTATTTACTGAAACAAGTATTACAGTTTTCTGCTTATCATGTCTTCCAAACTTTACAACTAGTAGATCTTCCATTCTTAAACACCATTCTTAAGTATGAAGTAGTTGAAGAAAGTACCCTTCCAATAATTCCTAAACTCTTGATGATGAATTCTCAAACTGAGTCTGATTAAATGGATGAAAGAAGAGAACATTCTCTTCATACCTGCAGAGCCAATTGCTCACAGACTCCAGGTGCTTTGCCACTGACAACCATCAGCACGGGGATCTGACTTAGTGACTTGGTTATTATTAAAGTATTTATTTTAAGTCTCTACCATGCTACTAAGGTTTTTCTCCAAACACTGCTGTCCCAAGCCAGTCCCTAAAGAACTGCTGCAAAGAATATTTAATCTGTTTTGATGTATAAAAATTCCTATATGCCATGGGAATAAGAATGACAGGCACTTATTACAGTATACATTAACAAGGGCATCAGATAAGGAAAGCTATTTTGTATTGTACTATAATTCAGATAGATTAAAACAGAACATAAATTACAGTATAATGATTTTGTAGCTATCATACATCTATCAATTTCACAGAAAAAACCTTAATTACTGAATGATTAGATCAAAAAGGAGCTTCCAGTTCTTTTTTAAAAATGCATCCATGAATGGGAATGATACAGAGTGAGAGATCCAATTTTGTTCTTAGATCTGCCTTAGCCAGAAATAGCTTCACTGAAGCCACTGCAGTTACTTTACTATGAAATAAAAAAAAAAAAAAAAAAAACACAAAAAAAAAAAAAAAAGAGAGGTTTTAACAGTCCACAGTGCAACTGCCTCTTGCTTTGGAACATTAGTAATAACAACCTTCTTTTATACATGTGATTTTTTTTGTTTTACTACTGCCCTCATGGTATCTACTCACAGAACAAACTTCCCTACTAGAAAGAGACCTTTAAAATTCCTGCTAAAAAACTGAGAGGAAAAAATGCCTTCCTGACCCGACACTGTGCGAAACAGAAGTGCTGTTTTCCTCTGTGGCTGGTCAGTACCCAGGGACACATCAAACCCAGAGGAAATCAAAGACACATGAAGGTGCATAGGAAGGTGAAGTGCCTGGACCACTTGCCCTAAGCCTTTTCAGGGGCTGCCAGAGCAATGTGGCAACTGCTGCCTGGGCTACCAGGCCAGTATTCTTCTCAATTAGAGGGAAAAAAATCAGTGTGGCTTGTAACAAAATCCTTTATCCAGGTGTGGGGCAGCAGCAGACCACAACCCCCTGGGAACCCCAGAGGGCTCCTGCTCCCCACTGCGGGTCACAGAGGCAGTGCTGGCATTTCTGACACGGGGTGAACCTTCAGCAAGGCTTTGGGTCTCTGAAGCACCCAGCTGTGGCTGCTCCGTTCAGCAATCACTCAAAAACATTTCCACTGCAAATTTTAATGATATGTGATCTACAACAAGGAAGGCAAATTACCTCAAAACCCCTGTGAAACCTCAGATGTTGAAGCCTTCAGAACAAAGGCTGTGTTTGAACTGTCTGTAAGCCACTTGGCATTTTTCCCCCACAAGGACATAAAGTGGCACTGAATCTATTTCAATGGAAAGGTAATTAATAACAATTATTTTGTTGCTCAAATGGTTGAGCAATTTGTAATACAGACCACTTCATTTTTTTCTGAAGTTTTGGGAAAATATTTTGTATCAAATGTTGAAAACTCCTAATTACAAAAAATTTCATTTAAATTATTTAAAGGTTATTTTTTCCACAATGATTTTTTTTTATTCTTTTGGTGTTACCTTTGCATTTTAAGTTGTTCCATTTTTCAAAGAAAAATCAACATGCATAAGATAATTTTAACCATTGTATTGTTTGTATTTTTTTTCCTCTCTAACTAGATGATTCCTTAATGAAAATTGTAAAAGGGAACAAGGTGTAGTATGGAAATTATTGTTTTTATTATGACCTTTGTTTTAAATACCTGAAAAATGTCTCATACAGAGAGTCTTCTTTACACTACAAAAAAATATAGTCCTTTATAGCCAATTTTTACCTGCATTATGTTCATCCATTGAAAAGGCTTTATTTTCCATGTAGCTCCGAGGAAGCTGTATATCTTCCTCAAAAGCGGTTTCACGCATCCTTGGCTGTGAAGTGTCAAAATAATTGGGTGTGTTTTCCTGCTGTGATGGAAGGATGGTACAGTGGACCTCTGGGATGGCATGAAAAATAACAAACACCCAGCCACTGGACACCAGTGCAATAGCCAGGGTGGGATCACTCCATTTGTCTCTTCTCTGGAGCTCGGCATTACCGAAGAGGTACATAGTCATCCAGGCTACCCAGATCAGAATGGAAAAGAAAAGCGTTATAATGAGGCATACTCCGTTCTTCTTCCATTTCTTAAACTTCCCACAGAGAGTGAAAAACGAAAATCCCATGGTAAATACCATCAGGAACATAACGTAAATGGAAGCCATCACAAAATCCATGGGCTCGTAGCTGCAGGCCAGCTTGTTATCTCTGACAATGGTCAGGATCAGCCACTCGGTTGCGATGATGACCTGCACCAGCATCAGGCAGGTGGCCACCCCGGCCAGGTGCCAGCCAGACGGGCTCTTCCCATGGCGAACGAGCCTGCGAAGCCTCCAGGCTTGGGCTAGCAAGCAGGAGAAGCACAAAGCAAAGACAACTCCCCACAGGAACCTTCGGGTAGAGCACACCATTTCATCTTCCTGGATGATGAAAGCAAACGTCAGCCCAAACAGTCCCAGAGTCCCAAAGAGAAAGAGGAAGTGCATTCCCAGGGGGCTCTTCTTCTCTTTGTCCTTGATGAAGGGCAGCCTCACCAGCAAAATCAGCATCAGCAGTAAGGTGGTCAGCACACCTGCCCCTGCCACCGCCTCCAGAACGATCCCCCAGATGGCATCCAGGTCACACAGGTACACGTACTGCGGGAGGAGATCCAGCCCGCACCCTCGGGGAGTGCTGGAGTTCTCTGAAGAGCCATAGCTGATCACCAAGAGGAGGAAGAAACCAATGGCTGGGTAGGTTTTCATTTTTCTGTCTGAGACAACAAAGTATTTGTTTAGCTAGAGCTGAGTTTGGAGGATTTCACAGCCACTGAAGCCCAGCTCGTTTCAGTAGCCCATGTTTACAGTTTTTGCACTGGATCCGAGCTGGCACAGCCTCCCCCAGCCCCCTCCAGTGCCCTCCCAAAAGCTGCTTTTGCCTGTTGTACTCAGAATGAAAAGTGACTCATTGCTCTGTTTGCACAGATTGAAAACAACGTTTCCAAACTCTGACCCTGCAAATGGCCTACACCAGCCAGAAAAAAATATGTATCCTGTTGCAAATATTACATTATCTGCAACACTTGGACACTTACTACCTGTTTAAATGTAATATCCCATTCAAATCAAGGTTCTTAAGGCATGTTTAAGTAGCACAGGGCCTGATGCAGGTGTGAGCAATATCACAATTAGACTGTCCCACAGCCTTGCTCCTTTTACTGGAACAAAGACAGAATCAAAACCACTTTTTAAATTACTACTTTTTAAAGGATAAAGCAATCCAAGGAAAATAAACATTGTATATTCAAAAAAAAAAGAAGAAAAATCTTGTTTTCATGCTTGGTCAATAGGCAGTTATCATATTAATTTATTTCATCCTCTTCCAAAGCCCAGATATTAGATTGCATTTGGAAATGGGAATGGTAGCCTAGAAAAATCCCATGTTCTGTGACAATGGTGTACACATGCAGTGTCATCAATTAACTAATCAAAAATAAATGCCTCATTGTGCTTCTTACCCAGTCCAAAGCCATTCGAAGGAAACAAATAACAAAAACTAGAGCATCTCTTTCTTGGATCCAGAGAGTGGACAATGGCAAACTCTCCAGGAACCCAATACATCCCACTTAACCACTAGGACCATAAGCCTAGACAAATCCCAACTTAGTTTTAGGAGGAACATGAGTTAGGTGCTTCAAAAATACACATTATGGCATTTGCTTTCACTAAGCAAAACAGGGCAAAGGAGATTGTTAAAAAATGTAACCTTTAATTCCCAGTCTGCCTCAGCCACAGCCCTGTAAGGGCAGTCTGGAGTGAACACTGTGCGGAGCAGATCTGAAACCTGACTCTGTTAACCTTCACCAGCAGTTAGTGCTGCAGGTTCCAGCAGGATTCTCCTCATTGATGTGGGGGACGTTTCAGACTCCCCCGGTACTGTATGACCACGAGGAAGAAAGGCAGGAATGTTAGTCCATGTGAGCCACACAGCTCATGGGACATGTTCGGGATGCAAAGTGAAAAGCAGACAAACTATCAGGAGCTCTTTTGTAAGCCATACAACAGCCCTAAATACCTGTCCAAAGAGATTTCACAGATTAGAACTGCCTTTAATGAAAACTTAATTGAGAATTGAAAATTATTTAAAGTAGTGGTGCAATGTTGCACTGAGCACTATCAGTCATAACCAACACAAAAACTATTTACATAGACTGTCTGAAACTGTACTGTGTCTCTTAGAGATGAGAACTATGGATTTTCTTGTGCTTTACAATCCTGTAATGGCCAAAGTCAAATCCTGAGCATCAGAATCTTCCAACCAGTGTCGTGATCAATGGCCATTTTCAGCCTCTATCAGGGACAGATGATGAAGCTCAGGATGTTTCCCGTCAGGGGCACCGAGACCGCAAACATGCCAATGTAAACCTGTAATGACTCTCTGGTCTTCACTCACACAGGGTACAAAACATCCCAGTACAAACCATCTCAGAAGTGGAAGCTGTGACAAATAATGTGATGTGGGCTTGGACAAACAGGAAATGGATAATGGGCAATCTCTGCCAGCCCATAGATGTTAATCATTGCACTGCTGGAAGGGCTGCAATGTTCTAACGGTGCAATGACCTGCTAAGGACAAATTATTTTGTTTTTTCTACCTATCTGTAAGGTACTTTATGGTTGATTGGTAGAATATACACTTTTTTATATCTGATCTGTGTAACAGGTTATTCACTGACTCTGTTGCAACACCCATGTTAAAAACATTGACTTTACAGACAGAAAACTAATCATCAGTGAAATATATTCATTTTTGTATTGAATATACGCTCAATAAACTTCCTTGCCCTTCGAGTACATAATTAACTAGACAAAAACATTCCAAAGATAATTCTCCAATTCCTGTTATGCACAGTCAATTCCTACTGCAACTAGTGAATTTCCTCTTTAGAGCATTTGAAACGTCCTGAAAAGTGTGAAATGGTCAGTGCAATTTCACAGTGACACACGAGGGGGAAATCCACTGGGATCTACTAAGGCAATACCCCAAACCATTTCAAGAAGCAGGAGGTCATGTGGAAAATGATTCAGAATTCATTCTAAATGTCACCCAAACTAGAAACAATAAACAGTCCTAAAGTGAGGGTCATGTTAACTTTCCACTATCCCATCACTTACAAATTATGGTAAGCATGGACTAAATTGCTTCCAATACTAGCTTTGTTTATTAGCTACTGTCTAACGACCTGGGGGGTAATTAATTAAGTGCAAGTATCCCCAGTTCTAGGATATTTTCCAGTTTTCTGGTTACTTTATTCATGTCATGTAACCCTCATGTGATTGAGCTATTCTAGGACAGTCTGTTTCCATGGAGATTGTGCTGCATGGGTAAGCAGTCATATTGTCAGGGCATCATTTGTTTCCTCTTCCTATTTGGAAGTGTTTGGGAGGGGGAAGGGAGAGTTAATGAATTTGAGTATTTCCCCCTCCAGGAATAAGTGGTTAGTTTTGGAAAGGGGGAATTAAGCTGTGACAAAATATATTCAGAATTTAAAATACATATTCTGAAATACAGAGGTGTTCAACTCAAGATTTCCCAAGTTACTTTCTACTTTTGGGAAAGCTGATGGGACATAATCTGTGGTCCTCTTAGAAAGGTCACAGATAGCCACAGTACTGACCAAGATAATCTCTAGGGCTGCTGACAGTTATTCCTGGTGAAATAATTTCCAACCAAATGTCAGTGAGTCTCACTAATCTCTAGATCCTGCCCAGACCAAAGCTGGCAAGCAGAGCTTGAAGTCTCCAAAGGAAGAATCTTTTCCTCCTAACTGCTATCAACAAAGCAGTTTGTTTCCAACCTGTTTACTATCAATTTCTGCCTAACAGGGTAAAAACAGGCAATATTAATAATCTGCCCCCTGAGACATTACAAGCCAAAAAAAATTCCTCTTTCTAATACTGATACTCAGCACTGAACACAGACAGTTATAAAAACAAGGGAAAACACTGTTTTCAACACAGAAGTTTGGCAAATAAAAAACTACAACTTCATCTAAAACCACAGATCCTATCATTGTAAGGGAAAACTGTGAAGTTTATTTTTCAGAAAAGTTGTTTTTTGCAAAAAAACAGAAATACATCATTATGAGGGTTTTATTAAAATAGCACCTTCCTCAAGCCTGTGCAGTGGGTAGGATGGCAGAATTCTGTGTCTCTTGAGATTTTATGGTAAAATTTTACTGCACATTCTTTTTGGCTGTTACTTAAATCAGTAACTGTAGAGGAAGAGTATTTTTACCTCTTTATGTCTAGATTAGGTCTTACAAAAGTTATGCAACCTCGCAGTAGTAACAATAGCGCTCTATTCGGCTGGCACTTCACTCCTGCTGCCAGAGAGCTACAGGAACACAGGAGTGCCACCGAAACACCCCAGCACAGATACAACCCCTGCATACTCCAATGAACTGTGCACAGGGAACAAAAGTAACTTGAGATTTTTTTTTCTCTCCCAGATTCCTCTCCAAAATTTTATTTTGGTAAAGCCATTAAGGCAACATACCTGAAACCAGAGCAATCAGGAACACTTACAATCAATATTCTAATCAATAAGCCTTACACATTTTAGACAAAAGAAGCGAACAATTAGCAGGACAGCTTCAAATCCATTACTCAATTTTTGGCTCAAAATCTGCTCTCAATGACAGCTGTAATAACTCCACTGTTTTCTACAGAGTGAAGTCCCCTTCATTACATTCCATTATCTGGCATAGAGTCACTACAGAAATTGCAGAGACAAAGCTGCCCCAGCGGGTACAAACTACAATTACAAGCAACTAAGCAGAAACAGAAAATCTCCTAGTTGTCATCAAAAAGTTGTCACAGTTAAAAATCAATGAGGCTTTCTGTAGCTAAAGTCTTCTGACCAAAGCTTGCAAAGGGATCAAAAAGACACAGCTGCATGCTGCTGCATGATATACACACAGAATAAATGTGTAATCATGCAAATAGTTAAGGTTAGGCTATTCATGGTTAGATGCATTATCTGCTCCTGTACCTGGAGTTCAAATGTTAGTCAACTGACACAGGGAGATGCATTCAATGGCAGAGAAGAAAAAAACAATCGAGTAAATATAAGCAATAATAGCACAAATAGTAACCTGCTCTGCCACCCAAGCAGAAGACTGGTTCACTGTGTGATTTCCAAAAGAAAACAACCCTCGCCACAAAGTGTTGTGGGGAGATGCGAGTGAGTGAGGAATTAATCACAACACAGGATCTCTGCCAGCTGCTTTTGATCAGAACTGAAGAATGAGCTCCAGGACTGATAACAGAGCAGCAACAGCCAAGTTGAGATCAGACTACTCAAGAGACGTGTATATTTCCAGAATAATAATTAATAGTGCAATTGTGCTTTGCAGGCAAAAATACAGCAGTGATTTTGACAGCCCCTGCATCAGATACACACCGTGCTCTGTTACAGCCTCGTGGTTACAGAAGGCAAGACCCCACTCCGAAAAGGATATGCAGAAAAAGTATTGTTTTCATTTAGAAATAACTTTGTGATGCTGAATACCCTATGAAATGAGCTCTCTCATTTTCTAGGAGCTGAATTCCCTGTGGTCAGATCTGTGTATCACGCGTGCCTAGGTACTTCTGACCACAGTGCCTGGTGTTGAATTCACAAGCGATAGCAATCAATTACAGTAATCAACGTTTTTATTTTCTTTGCTAATTCTCAGACTGCTTCTATTTATGTCATAGCCTTCTAGCAGATGGCTATATCTGTCACCTGATTTCTCCTGATGTAGCGAGACAACACTCCAACCCCGATATTCCCTGCTGGTAAGCAGCAAGGGGATCCCCGTTAAACAGCTACTCGGTACTAGCGCTGATTACCGAGCTGGGTGTTTGGGTTCAGCACGCAGGAAATCCTGTTAGCCTTGGGATAAACATTAAGGGCAGGTGTAAACAAAGGGTTCACGTAAGTGCTAAATCCTCTCTCTGCGTGGCTTTGCGGAGAGGTAACAGAGAGACAGAGCTTTTATTAACTGGAGAGAAAACTGCTGCGCACCCGCACCCAGCCGGAGCTCCCGCCAGCCCCGGGACCGGACCGCGGCGGCCAGGGGCCAACAAAGGCTCCTTCCCTGTCCCTGTCCCTGTCCCTGAGCTCCCGCTGGGGAATGCGGTGAGGGGCCGGGCTCGGCTCAGCCACCCCCGTCCGACCGCGGTGCGAGCCCAGGCGGCCCCTCCGCGCTCGCCTTAATCCGCTGCAGCCTCCTCCTGCTGGACGACACCTATCTCCCTTCAGCCTCCGCTTTTTGTCCCTTCGCTCATTTCTCTCTTCGGTTTCTTTCTCCCGTCTCTTCCTCCCCCGCCTGTCCCCGCTCTTCTTCCCCATCCTGTCCGAACTCCACTGCCCTCCTCGCCAGCCTTCCGCCCCACTCCCCGCAGCGCAGCCCCCTGCTCCGAGCCCCCCTCGTCCTGCCCTATATCCCGTCTAATCCCCCCCAGGATTCCTATATCCAGCCTGCTGTCTGCTGGCGGCCACCGAGCTAATTCTGCGGGCGGCGCAGGGCGCAGAGCGGGGTGCCCCGGCCCGCAGCCCAACCTCGGGCGCACCCCCGGAGCCGGCCCGGGGCCGCTGTCCCCCGCCCGCCGGCTCACCCGCTGTCTGCTGCGGCCGGGGGCGGCGGGGCAGCTCTGTCCGCCAGCCCTCCGCGAGTCACATCCCGGCTCCGGCGGCGCGGCGGCTCCGCGGCGGGGAGCGAGCGCAGCGCCCGCGGCGGCTCATGGAGCGCTCGGCCCGGTGCGCGCCCGGCGGAGCGGAGCGGAGCGGAGCGGTGTCCGCCGCGCTCTGCGCCCGCCGCTCCGCCGCTCCGCCGCCAGCCCCCTCCCACCGCCCCGCCCCGCTCGGCACGGCACGGCTCGGCACGGCTCGGCTCGGCTCGGCGGGGCAGGGGCACCCGGGACAGGGACGGCGCGTCCCACAGCGCCGGGGCGCCCTGGCTGCGCGGAGCTGCCCGGCTCCAGGGCAGGGGCACGGTGAGGGTGCGGGCTTACACTTACACACACCCTGCTCACACACACACACACACACACACACACACTGCTCACACACACACACACACACACACACCCTGCTCACACACACACACACACACACTGCTCACACACACACACACACACACACACCTCTCACGCAGACACACACCCCCTGCTCACACACACACACACACCCTGCTCACACACAACACACACACACTGCTCACACACACACACACACACACACCCTGCTCACACACACACACTCAAACACGCTGCCACATCCTCCCAGTGCCCCTCTCCCGCTCCCCAGCCCGTGTGCAGCCGGGCACGCACCGGCGCTGAAGCGGGGCTGGCTCGGGGCGCACCGGCACGGCCGCAGCCCTGCGTGCTCCGGTGACACGGGGGCAGGACACCGGGGCAGGACACGGACGGGCATTCCTGCCTGCTCCTGCCTCGCAAAGGAATGCGAGAGCGAGGGCTGGGAAGCCCCTCCCGGGCAGGCTGGCGGGGCATGCACGCACCTACGGCCAGCTGTGGGGCTGCAGAGGTGAGGGCTTTTCTGCCCTCTGACAACGGGGGCTTTTTTACGTTCCAACCTTCTCTAGGTGTAGCTTCCGACCTGCCACAGCCGGAGACAACAGCTAAACAAGCATTCGGAAGAGAAAACCTTGGGAGCGTGTGTAGGGTGCAAGCGATGCTTCACACGCAGGGTGGGAGGTCCCGCCGAGGTTCTGGGCTCTGCCCCTGTCTGCCTCCTACCCACAGAGGGCAGCTGCTGTCCTGCTGTTCAGCTTCTCCACAGCTCAACCCTGAGCCACTCAGAACCCTTACACAGGGCTTCCCACAAACCCCAGGAGCAGTTATTTGTAGGAGGAAAAGACAGTTTCTGTATATAATGCTCATGAGCCATTTCAACAGCTTAGAGTCCATCTGCCTGACACGTCCATGAACAACAACCTCACCGTGTTGTGCATCCCTGGGTTATGCACCCCTGCATCCCTGGGTTATTCTTCCCCTAAAACCACTAACAACAGTCTGGGCAGGCACAGCTGACACGGCATCAGCAGCAGGGAGTGCCTGGAATGTGTCCTTCTTGAACACCTGCCCTTCTTGCCAGGTTTCCATATCCAGAGCCTTCCAAGGGGACATATCTGCCCTGAAACGTGCGTTCTTCAGCGCAGCAGAACTGTAACCTTTAAAAAGACTCTTCCTAACGTGCGTGGGCTTATTTACCTGTCATTTATGATGCCCTGGGGGGTAACCTGAACTTCTCAGCGTGGTTGACAGGGAGTAAATTGGATGGTGGGGTTGGACTGTAATTGCCTGTGTTTAGGAAGGGCAGCAGGTGAAGAAAAGCTGAGGCTGAGGGACAATTTCACATTTCTACTCTGTTCTTTCTCAATTTCTCTATCTTGCTGCTTTCAGGTTTTAGGCACTGTTTGGTGTGGGTTTTTTTTTTTAATGTTTTTTTTTAAATTTATTTTTTAGTCACATGTTAACAACATACCCTGCCCTTGCATCAGTTGACAGCTACACTCCATTCAAAGTTAAGCAGGATAATTTTACAGAAACCGAGGTGGTGAGAGATGAAGTTGCTATAAACTGCCCAAGGTCACCCAGCAGTCTGGCAGAAAAGTGTAAAATACTGGTTCAACAGATCAGTCTGTACCCCTGCTCCATCTTGGGAGCCTGAGCCAAGCACCCAAATACTACAGTACCAAGTAAAGACCTTTTTGTGTACAAATGAACACACAGAGTTCTCTGTGCCGTGCTGGATACAGAGAGGTAGACCAGGGGGAAGGATGAATCACAAGGATTCATGTGCTGTCGGTCTTGGCCGGCTCACAAGGGAGCAATGTGCTGAGCCCTTCAGCAAATGCAAATCTTGGGCATTGTTCCCTTCTTCCTGTGTCTCTAACACAGCCCTGGTTCCCTGAAGGAAACTGCCTCCCTCATTTGCCTTGTACTGATAGAACAGGGAAGATAATGCCTCTCTCAACCATGGCTAGTGGGTGAGTACTGAATAGTCCTGATTTCTTGCCTTCTGAAGCAGTTTTTAGTGTTAGCTACCATGAAAAAGTATAGGACAGGACTCCAAATCATCCAGGAAATTATAGGAGGGCTTGGTAGAATAGATGGACTAAATCACAGCTCCTGTTGCATTACATTCCACCTAGTTAGCTTTGAAAAAATATGCTCTTAAAATAGGCTTTTATTTAGGGAAAAATTATTTCTACCAGTCAACCACAAACTCATCAGCACCTTCAGCATTTCCCCACCATGAGAGAGCAGGTAGAAGGGTGGAGTGGGTGCTGTGACCCAGGCAGACTGTGTGAATTCCCTGATTTCAGATGATGCTCTCCACTCCTACATCAGTTCCTGTAGCCAGTGACTGCTTGCATGTCATCAGTGCTTAGAGGAGGCTGGGGAAGGGGTGAAGTGTGCAAGGCCAAAGCAGAGGCAAAATTTAGAGATCTCCACTTATACTATACCATGCAATTCTGCAAGAGCTGATAGCTTAAAAAATGGTGAGCTCGATGTTTTTGTTCATCTCTGGAATAGCAAAGAGCGTGTACAATATCTATTTGGTTTTGTTTTAGGCTGAGTGTACAACATAGTCAACTTTTGAAAACCCCACTGCTTTCAGTAATTTTACCCCTCCTATTTCCTATACAACACACATTGGGTCATTAAATCAATTTAGCTTTTAATTTTTAACTTTCTCCCCACCAATATTTGGTTTACTGCTTGTTACAATAGGTAAACAAAGAGACTGTGTGGTGCTGCATGTTCCCAGAGTTTCTCTTCTGCAGCAGTGCTCCCAGCAGGATTTGACAGGGGGGAGCAAGGCTGTCAGAGCAGCGCTGAGCGGCCACCACTCACCCACCCATGAATGCCAAATCCATATCCCCACAGACTGCCATCCTCATTTCAGCTGGTTTTCCCCTGTCCCAACCTGAGACAAAGGCAATTTCCATCCTCAGCTCTCCTTTAACCCCTCAGAAAGCCTGGCAGGTGTGTTTATTGCAGGAGCAGGCACACAAACAGTCGAGCAGTGTTTCACCACCAGCTTTCCTTTGTACTGCAGAACCTTTTCACTGGGTACTCCGGTTTTGCAGCTCCTGCCAGCAGGGAACTGTGCTTGTGCCAGTGCCATTTAAGTGGGATATTTCATTAAGAGATCAGCAGCAGGCACATGGAAATGACAGCGATCATTAAGTCCGCATTACTCTGTTTGCACTGGGGAGCAGTGGAGGCCCCAGGCACAGCAGGGCTGCAGGCACAGGGGCAGCCAGCCCTCTGTAAATCCCTGCAGATTGCCTGGGACACACCGAGTGCCTTCAGCATGGGGCAGCCAGGCTCTGCTATCTGTCCTGGAGGCTGAGATGCTGCAATAATGAATACGACAGAAGAGAATAAGGAGATACCAGGTGAATTTGCCCCTGGCAGTGGTGTGTGGTTGATTCACACCATTTCTGAGCCCTGAGCAGAGGTGCTTTTCATTACACAAATCCCTGCAGCGTGATTAGTTTGCCTAATACATGCCCTGCTTTTTCTCAGGGCAGGATACAAATCCTGGTGCTCGCATTGGTTGGCAGCATCAAGGAGGCAGTGGGATTTGTGTGACCACCGTGAGATGGATTCTCTGTCACTGCAGAGGGTTTCACACCTCACTCCTGGCACTGCCCAGGGCAGAGTCTGCTCTCCACGGTGTTCTGTGAAACGGGTCTGAGTCACCAAGTGGCGTTAGTGAAGGGAAAATGAAAAGGGAGAATCTTGAAATCACTGTGGAGAAAAGGATGGGCGTCAGGAAGGAGATGAATGCACGGGGGACAGAGAAAGAAAGAATTATTGAAACATTATGGAGAAACATAATCTGGAAAAACTATCCATGGCACAAAACAAAGGTGCTCTCAGGAGGGAAAGTGTGAGTAAATGGCCATAGTGTTGGATGTCACATCCACATTCAAATCCAAATTATCCCTGTTTTTTCAGCTTGGTTAAACAAACCAAGGTAAAGACACACCTTTATGACAGCGCACCTACTGATAATTCCTTTTCTGTTTGGTAATAAATACAACCTGTCCTGTGGTTCACCCATCACTTGTTTGGCCATACAGGGAAGGAGTGAGTCTCCTCCATGTAACAGTCAGCTCTGAGCACCAGGACAAGGGAGCAGTGATGCAGGTGAGATTTACAGTGCAGTCAATATGACATTTGTTTGTTTTCTCAACACATTCCTTTATCTCACTAGTAATGCACAAGTGCTTTTTCTAAACTGTAGAGAATCATGGACAAGTTTTATGATTTAATGCAGCTGGTAAGAGTTCACTTAAAACACAATGGATGGTCTGTTACACTAGGCATGAGATTAAAGTCCTTATGACTGGGAATTTGCACACATTCAAATCTTTATTTCACAAGGAAAACCACCGGAGATAGGTATTTAAATCAGCATATCTCTGGTACAGTGAGTTATTGCTATAGCCTCTCTGAGGTTCTGCCCAGATAAATTTCAAACTGGCCAAACCATTTGGATTTGAAAAGTTTATACTTGACCTTTGCACAGACAAAGTCCCAATTGTATTAAAATGAATTTGATCAAGCGAATGATTTGTGGCTTTCTGTTCTGAGCATGAGAAAACTTCCTTGTGTTGGGGAGATAGCGACCCTGGCCAAGAACAGCAACTTCTGCTGGAGAACCTTGAGCTTCCTTCTGGTGTGGATCTGTGGATGGTGCTGGGTGCAGTGAGGTTTGTTAGGGCGGCTGCTGCAGGGAATTGTCACAGTCACCTACACTGCACAGAGAGATTCTCCACATCCTGTTCACTCCTCAACACACTACAGATACCAGCCAGGGTAACTGTGCCACCCTTGAATGCACTTATGCTGAAAATGGGCTTGATTTATAAGTGCTTTTATTTACATCTGCTGGTTTCACACTTACGCTGAGGTGTAAAGGGTTTTTTCTGAATGCTGCTAAGAATGGTGCTGGTACCTCTTGAATGCAGTGTCATTAATGCCCTTATCTGTAATATCTCCTCATGGAAGTGGGAAATCATACCCAGAATTTTTTCTGGACTTCCTCTTTAGTGGTATGTTTGGTGAAAAATATTCGCCCCTGTTGTGGACTGTCTATGTATCTTAAAAAAAAAAACCAAAAAAAAAAAGGTTTGTATCCCCGCAGTGGATTGAACAATCTCATCTTCGTGATGTGCTCAGGGTTTCTGTTGCTGAGACTGTCACCTGCTGGCCACGAAGAAGCTCGCCAGGATCTCGGGAAAAACCTCAGAAGCTGATAGATTAAATTCTCAGGTTTGCCTTTAGAAATTACACATTGAGCTGTTCCTGCTTTATCTAACTCTAAACAGGATGGTAATTCTATAAGTGGAGGTAGACCAGGAAAGCTTCCTCATTTATAAAACTTTTAAATTTCATGCAGTTTTAATGCAAAGGAAACTGAGTTCTAATCACAGTGAACATGTGGGGTAAAATGCTGGTTCCAGTCAATTTAACTGAGCTTAACTATGGCAAACTAAGCCACAACCAATAAGCAGGGGAAAGGGGAAAAAAAAAAGAAACTAAAGGCTGGTTATCCTGCCTCTGGCAGATTTCTGTCACATTAAGCCATGGATACAAGATGACCTTAGGAAAGGGTCACATCTTTGTACTGACCAGCAGAGCTCAACAGAAATCAAAGGACCTTTACTGAGGCTCTACACTAGAGCTTTTGCAGGAAAGGAAAAGAATTGCTCTGAAAAGCTCTTTCAGCCCTGCCCTTGTCCTGCCCTTCCATCTGTTGTCACTGATAGCTCATTTTCTGCCAGTCTTTGGGCCAGAATCTCAGCTGGTGTAAATCTGAGCAAGTCTGAATTCACAGCTGGAATGAGGGTTTGCAGGGTGGTTTATTCTCCTCATTTTGAAAGTGCTCCCCTGTTCCCCCCAGATCTGAGAGCAGGTTACTACAGTGCCTGGAATGCATTGTTCAGTTGTGATTTTTCTGTTTCAGACACAGAAATGAGATCTGAGCTGTACAACAGGTGCTGAACTGCACCTCTTATTCCAGTGGAGCAACACCCTCTAGAGTTCTTCCCAAAAATCTGTTTTTTTCTTATGTAATTGAGCTGTGTTACCAGCATCCTGCAGGATTGCTGATAGGAAGGAAAGCTGGTGCCATAGAGGCTGTTTCATTACAATTATCCTCAGCTCACTTGGTCTTACACAGGGTATTGCTGCCTGAAAGCACATCTAAAGTAACCCTCAAGTTCAGTGCTGCATGTCGTACTGAAACTTTAAGAAGAGATTTTTTTATGGATGTTTTTCCATAAGCCTCTTAGTTCACATCTGTAAAAGATGGATTTCATGCACTTTAAAGATATTTTTTGACTCTGGAGTCAATCCCTGGAAGTGAATTTATGCAAAGTGGCCATATTTTTATTTCTTATTAGAAATTATTTTTTCGGTGGGGTTTTTTTTTGGTTGCTTGCTTTTTGGGTTTATAATTTCCTTTTATTTCCCTTCCCTCTGTTCTTGTGCTTGGATACTTACAAACTTTATTGTTGCTAGAGAACACGGGTGCCTGGATGTCTGTCTCATGAAAGCAAGTGGCTGCTTAAAAAAGAAAACCAGAGAGATTAGAGACCGCGTGAAATTCCACTAAATTCAGGGAAAAGCATAACTTCAAAGGATTTAGGATCAGATTTCAAATGCATATCATGAGAGACTTTTGAAACTGGTGGATTAATACAGGGTGCTGAGTCTCAGTCTCCACCCCTGTGCAGGACAGATAATGCCATTTACCTGCCCCAGAGCTGCCTCCCTTCTCCCTTCTCCCTTCTCGTGTGCTGCTGGAAAGAGCAAGGCTCTTCAAGGCCAGTCTGTGTCAAGAGAATTAGAAGAGCTCTGGCTCACAACCAGGTAAGCCCTGGAGCCAGCTCTCAAACACCAACAGGGAGAACCCACAGCCTCTCCATCTCCATTGAGAATAAACGAGGCTTTTCCTGAAATGCTCTTTTCAAATCTGTGAATGCTAAACTAGAAAAAATCCCCGTGGCTTCCTTCTCTGCTTCCCGCCCACACTCCTCAGCGAGTGATTTCCTGGGAGCTGCTGGGATCTCTGCTCAGGCAGGGGATGGTTGGGCACCTCTGCTGCTCTCAGTCCTGTACAGGCTTGGGACTGTGGGCTCTGCAGGGCCATCACAGCCTCTGCAGCCCCATCCATCACTTTATTGATCACATGGAGATAGATTCCCTTTAAAACTTCTCTTTTGCTGGTAGATTTACTTTGCACCGAGACTTAAGTGTGAGTTAATATTCTTTTTGAGGGGAGATAAAGGGCAGTGGAGATCCTAGCCTAAAGAATGTAGCCTGTGAATTTTATCCCTGCACTGCACATACATTTTGATGGTCTTTGCTGTGTGTTTTATTGAGGCTGAGTCATAAGCAAATCTTAGTGCTTTGGAAGGAAGGAAATGGAGTTTGGGCAAGAACACGACACGTCACAAATGGATCCAGCAAAGGCACTGCTCAAGCTGTGAGAGCACAGTGACGTATCTCAGCAAAAGGAGAACTGAAGGTCAAGAGTCCCTGTGCTGCATTACAGTTTTCATCACCTGAAGCCTGTCTGGACTCGGTGATGTTTGAGATGAGCCAATCCTGCTCATGTGCCTTCCCTCAGAAACAGTCCCATAGTTAACAGGCACTGTTTCTGTCTTGTATTTCAGTCCTGGGATGGTGAACATCTGCCCAAGGCTTGGGGCTGAAACAGTTGCTGGGGCTGGGTCAAGGCACAGAATTTTTGACTGAGGTTGTTGAGGAAGGAGAGTGGAGCTCTTGTGCCATGGAGGCAGGAGGTTTCCTTGGCAGCTGCCCTTAGGAATGCTGCCTTTGCCTGGGGAGGAGAGGGGAGCCACACCAGCTGGCTGGGCAGCTTGGGAGAAGGTTTCCTGGGGAGACTCAGCCATGGCTTGCAGCACAGCATCCAGCCTGTCTCACGGAGATCGGGGCACTGCAGAGGCGTGGGCAGAGCAGCCAGGCTCGGGGCTCCCCAGGGATCCACTTGGACAGGCACAGCTGGCTGCAGCTCAAACGCCACTGACTCGCAGCCAAGCCTTCAGACAGGGTAGGCAGAGAGCAGCATGTTCTGCCACCAGTAGTTTGACTTTGAATTTGTTTAGAAAGTTAACTGTCTTTTTTTTTCTCTCTTTCAGGTGATGCCTAGCTTTGAGGTCAGAAGCCTTTTGATCTTCTTCATGGAGCTCACCATGAGGGAGACACTTAGGTGTACCTAATTCAAAGATCTGCACCTTTCACCCCCTCTCCTTGGTGCAGGATGCCGCTGCTGTCACACTTTGAGAGGCAATGAAAGGCCAGAAACACACATTTGTCAGGATGCTTTTATAGGAGCCACTGCCCTGCTGACAAGGGGCAGCCCAAGTGTGCTCCCTCCTGCCTCTTGGGCAGGACTTTGGGCCCTTCCTCTGCCTCCCTGGAGCTATGGAAGGGCAGGTTGTCCTTGCTGCAGCCAGCTGGAAAACTGGAGAGTCTGAGGCCTGCAATGAGACAGCAGCTCTTGAAGGGGCACTCAGTGCCACCAGATACAGCCAGACCAGTGGGGCTATGGATTAAATTATCATTAGCAAAGCTACCTAGCAAACACAGCTGCAGAAATGTGGCCCTTTTCCTCCCCCTCCGTTTGGCCAGCTGATGTTCCTCCTACATGATACAGAAGGATTTTATTTTACTCAGGTTCAGGCTGCAAATCTGGCTGATATTGGAAGGGGCTTTGGGGGACATTTGATATTTCTGAGGCCACGAGGGTCATGTTCTTCCAGGCTCCTTCTGGTTTCTGCTCTTTCTTAGGATTAATATTGCAGTAGGGAAGAATAAAAGGCTCTTTCCATCTCCAGGATCTAAAATGAAGGAACTGAGCAGACAGAAAATGACAAATTTCATTTTAGAAATATTAATGGTTGAATTTAATGAACTCTTGGCCTTAAGGAATGATATCCAAGAGGTGCTACCCAGGCAGGAAGTCTGTGTTTGAATGGGATGTGTGCACACAGACTGTCTCTGCAGCATCCCTGGAAGGGCAGCATTTGTTGGCTGTGCACCCCAGCCCTGGAGTGCTCCCAGCTGGCAGGCAGGACCAGGGACTGTGCCCTGGGGCAGGAGCTGGGCTGCCACAGCCAGGGTTTGAAGCCTGAAAGTGCATTTAAGGTGTTTGATTTTGCAAACATGGATGCAAGCAGCACTGTGTTTGTTAGCAAGTCCCTCAGGTGTCATGGCTCTGTGAATATTTCCCAGCTCTGACCTGGCCAGTGGAGAGGTCCCACTCCTGGGGGTGTGAGAGCTCCAGCTCCCTGCAGACACTGCTCCAGGTGCTACACACAGAGATGGACCCACATAATATTTATACTTTCCTAATCTGGCAGCTTAATTTGTACACCCATGTGGAAAAAAAAGAGAACAACAACTGGGTTGAATCATTGTTTTGTTTGTATTTGGGAGAGAATTCGCTTGCCTGTTGTTTGCCATTGCATCCTCAGAAGATGGAGGCCCCTGGCCAGCAGGATGAAGCGTGGCTTTGTTTTGCTGTTTACAGTGGCTGGAAAGCACGATGGTGAAGAGTGAAAAAGCATGCAAATAACTTGTTTATTCCCAGAGATGGGTACTTTGTGCTGTCACGAGCTGTGCTGTTGACTCAACCCAGCTTTACTTTCCTGGAACTGGGGGAGCTGACAAAGCTTGCTGAGGAAGACTCCTAAGCCAGAGGGTTTTTGGTTTCACAACAACTCCATGAAGCATCCCAGTGTTTTGCTCTATGGCATTGATTACAGGAGAAAGGAAAGAAAGGTGGGAAATAAAGACATTAAAATGAAATTTCCAAGTGCAGATTTAAAATCCCACAGGAAAAGTTAAGAGCAGGGTTGAGTAAACAGGGGGGATGTATGGGGTAAATAGTGAGGCTGGTGACTGACCACAAAAGATGGATTGGTTATTAAAACATCATTTGTTGCTCAATCTGAATAAACTTTTTAATGCTGAACCAGATTTTTAAAAATTGGGGTGAATTTAACATTTTTACCCAAACTGCTGCTAAGCACAGCACTGAAACCATCAGGCTGCCTCCCACCTAGAGCATCCTCCTGTGCTGGTCCCTGGGTCTGCAGGGTTACCCCTGGCATCTGTCACTGGCAGCCCAGTGCCATCCCAGCAAAAATAGAAGCATATTTATGTCAATGCTCATGTCCTTGCTGTGTGTTTGTGCAGAGCATGATGAACTCTGTATTGGACCACAGCTGCCAGATCCCAGTTCCTGACTTTGACACCTGGGAATGTGGGTGGCTGGCTCAGAAGTAAACTTGTGTTTGTTCAGCAAGGTCCTTGTGCCTCAAGAAGAAATGGGTGAACAACTCGTTGTTTGAAGCTAAATGAGCCAAATTTCTCTCATATGAACAATTCTATGCAATTTTTTTCTGTAATTCTGGCAAGGCATTTGCTCTGTGTTATGGTCCTACCTACCACTGCAGCTCAGGACATGCAGCCTTCATGCATTTATTCCTATGACAGTCCTGTGCATTTGGGAGCAGAGATGTGGAGGAACTGTGGGAAGCCAGGAGGAGGAAAACAGGCTTTAGTTTGTGTAGTGTTTGTGTGCACTGCATTGTGCTTCCCTATCCCTGCTCATTTGCTCATTTGCTCTGCTCTGAGACTGAGCATGATTGAATTATATCTTTGGGAAAATGCAAACATTTTGGGTGTTTCTCTCAGTGTGAACCGTGCAATAATATGCTCTGATGAGTGCTCAGGCTGCTGATCTTTCGTAATGCAGTTCTGCTATTACAGAGAGCTTAACTTTTAAAGTAAAATAGCTTTGCTGGGAATCTCAGCCAGCTTAGAAAAAGCCCATCCACCGTTCCTAACAGGAGGAAGGCACTGAGCATAAGCAAACTCCAGTGGGTGCCTTGCCTGTCTCTGGGTTCCCAAGCATATACCCACATTTCCCCATCACTGCTGCTCTGGCTGGGCCATGCTCTGCGGTTCTACAGCAGCAGCAGCACAGACGAGCTCAGGCAGCAGAGAAGCCATCCAGAAATCCTTGCCTCACCTCACAGGAAGCAGCTCAAGCATGTGAGGAGTTAATTAATTAATGCTTGTAGGACAGAGAGCTCTCCCAAGGAAAGCAGCCCAGTGGGAGTGGGGGCGGTGGCAGTCAAAAAAAAAAAAAAAAAAAAAAAAAAAAAAAAAAAAAAAGAGCACCTCAGTGCAAAAGAATGAAAAGAGTGCAAAAGAGTGCATCTCCTGTCCCCAGATTCCCTGCTCTCCTGCTCTTCTCTAAATGCTGAGCACTTGCTGGGCACTGCAGCCTCTCTGCTGGGAATCTCAGAGAGGCAGTCCTGCCCAGAGGCTGACAGTGAGCTGATGTCCAGGTCTGGACAAAGCCCAGCTCGACCCAAATCCAAGCAGGAGAAAGCCACTGTCAGTCATTTCTGTGCCAGCTGAATTGCTGGGCTGGAAAAGTCATTCATGTAAGTAAATGATTACTGATTGGCCTCTATGTGGTGACTCCATCACCATCAATAACCTTAACACAATCTGTGATCCTTCCAAAAAGACCATCATTAGGTGGACTGATGTCAGCACAGCCTCCCAAGTCCAACGCTTTGATATCATCTCATAAATTAGGAAGATTTTCAGGCCAGACAACACTTTAGTAGTCTATGTGGGAATTGAAGGGCTGCTGCAATAGCCTTGTAAAATGAAATGCTGGATATAAAAAGGAACAAACAACTGTTTGCCTTCAGCATTCTGGAAGTTGTATGTGGCCAAAATAATTTAAATAGATGTGACCAGATGCCATCTCCTTTTAGCATGGAGTTAACAGCTTTGCAGTTACTGAGGGCAGGGGTGGGAAGTGCCACCTGCTAGGGCACAAGGGACGTGGTAGCGGAGTAGGGGGATGAACAGAAAAAGAAACTACCAAGTCTTGCTGTCAGAGAGAAGTGAGGCTGCAGTGCCTGGTCAGGTGGAGTGAATGTCTCTTGGCTTTGCAAACAAATCATGCCATGGTTATCTAGACCCTGATCTGGCTTTCCCTGGAGTGGGTGCCAAAGTGCCCCTTGGTTCACCACTGCCCAACAGGCTCCAGCTTGTTTCATCTGTAAGTGATACTCTGCCCCTGCAAATGATCCATGTGAGCAGTCAGTGTGATTCCCTGTGCCAGTGATAAAGCTGATCTCATGGGGAGTTGTGCCAACGCTTTTAGACAGTAAACTTTTGGGCAGAAGTTATGCAAATGTTCAGATTAATTTAGATATGCAAGTAGCCCAGGAAAATCAATGGTATCACTTAGATGATTAAAATAACTTTGTCCAAAGTGTTTTTAGCCTCTGTACAGGTCCCTGATCTGTATGGATGGCTTGCACACTTGCAAAGATTAAAAAATAACATTTTCATTAAGAAAACTTTCTCTGCTTGAATGCAGAGAAGGCGACTCAGTAAAGCAAGCTATTCTTTTCCCACTGGCATGTGTTGTGCCCAGGTCTTTATATTCCAGTGTACAGACACTGTCTGTGAGAGACATGAAAAGCTGTTATGCCAAGCTCTGTGAGTCCCTGATGTTTGCCAGTGTGGTTTCTTTATTTTTAGTAGTTCCTGGTAAGGGCTGAATCCATCCATGTGCAAAAGATCCCAACTGACAGAGAGGGGAGGCATGCATGTGTTTCAAGACATGTGCCTGGGGTGGCTGTGGTTATGTAAGGGCTCTTTTGACATGGCCAATTACATAAAATGGAAATCCAAGGGAGGAAGGCAGTGCTTGAACACAGAGAAGGAATCTGGCTGCAGTAGTGGAGCTGGAGTCACTGCAGGTGCTGGGAATGAAGCAGAAGGAGGGTCTCCAGGCTGGTACATTTAAGCCTGTCCAGGAATCACCAGGCGCTGCTGACTTGGAGCAAGTGCAGCAGGAATCCTCCTGCTGCAGCCCTGTGCTGGATGCAGGCAGATGGCAATGCCCCTGCAGGCACCAGGCACACGAGGCCACGCAGCAGCACAGGTCAGCAGACACAGCCTTTGGAAATCTGCCTCTCTTGGTTGCATTTCAAACTAAAATGTGTTCAGTGAGCTGCAGGACAGAGGGCAGGGGCAGCTCTGCCGTGGCAGCAGTAGGAGGGGGCAGTGCTAGTGCTGGTTTAATGTGTGTGGGCACAGCCCAGAGAGGCCATGGCAGGAATGCCCAGTGGAGTGAATGCTTCAGCTCAGCTCCCAGGGCAGGACTCACTGCTCTGAGATCCCTGAAGCTGGCACAGGGCATTGAGAAGGGCTTTTCTCAGTGAAAATGAAGTTTAGAATTGTTTGGGCAGGTAGTAGGTGATCAGCCCAAATCCAAACACGGACTCTGCTCAGCATACAAGGACCACTACAGCGTGCTCACCTTTTCCACAGGTAACACTCTTGCTCTGGCTGCTTTCCTGGTGCAAGGGCACTGTGCCTGCCAGTGGGAAGGGAGACAGACTGGAGGTTTGTGCCACTTGGCCTGCCCTACTGAATTTCAGACAAGAAATCAGAGCTCTCCCATGAGAAAGCCATAATCCATATGTAATTCTTTGTTTCAACCTGTGTCAACCTTTCCAAGTGTAAAGATCAGCACTGTGTCTGAAAAGGTCACAAAGGGCTAAATTTTGTTCCTAGAGCAAATCTATCATCCCTTGCTGAGCAATTTCCCACGAGCCACGGTGTCTGTGCAGCTTGTGGCACAGGCTCAGGATGTGGTGACCCCTCTCTGACATCTCTTCTTCATGAGGCTCCTGCATTTCACACTGCACTGCCGAGGGCCGTGCCACGTCCTGCTGCTGCTGCAGTCACCAGCTCCAGCAGCTGAAAGGAGCACCCTCGTCTGGGGTGGGTGTCAGATCTGACAGGGTTTAAAAAGGTTTTCTTCTGAAGGGGAGGCACACGTTTCCCACCTTCTGGTTGATAAGCACGGGGCTGAACCAGGGCACCGGTGGCTGTGTGAGCAGGGCACGGTGCCTGTCCCAGCCCTGGCTGCTTTCCGTGCATTCCCTACAGATGGTGCTGCGCTGCCACCGAAAGATCAAGGCATGGAACAGAGGTTTCAGGGACATCCCCTGCTCCCTGCACTTTCCCCCACGGTGTTCCCGTTGAATTGGAGCGGGTTTTGTTTTCCCCACAACAACCTGCACAGGCTTCATCTGGCTTCAGTGATTATCCCTGCCAGCCCAGCAGCATCTGGCGGGCAGGATCCATCCTGCCCTTACAGCACTGTCAGTGGATCACTGTGGGTCTCAGATTCAAAGTTTCTCTAAACTGAGAGTTTCTAACCAGGCAGAAGCCTGGGAATCTGTTGGAAAAGAATGTAAATAAGAGGTTTATCTCCTTATTGTTCACATTGTTTATACTTCTATCACTGTGCATCAAGAAGTCTGCACCAATGGTGTAAGTTGTTTCAGGACCTATGGAATCGGTCTGCACGAAGCTCTGTATAGAGTGGTGCATTTTGAATTAAATCAGAGTTTTACTCTCACAGCCTTCTGAGTCAGAGTCTTTTCATTCCTGTCCTGCTTCAACAGCGTCAGGCCACGGCTCTGGCCTTGGTGAGGCTGCAGTTCCACTCTGCCTCTGGTTTTGGGGATTTTGGCCTCTGCTTGCACAGCCACTGAACCCCAGTAGGGAGGACAGGGTGCCACCTGTGTCACCTGGTCTCAGTGGCACAGGGCACAATGTCTCTTCAAGAGTGTAACTACACTGCTGCATCCTGGGGAATACACATGACGTTGTGTTTAACACAGCTTGGCTCTGCCTGCAGCCAGTGAGGCTCCCTGGGTTAGGAAAGGCTGCATGGACCTTCCTGTCCCTTCTCTCTCCAGCCTCCCCTGCAGCGAGGAGCTCCCTTGCCCTGGCTTGGAGAGACGGAGATTCCTTTTTCCCTGCACACTGAAGTCTTGCTGCTTTTGGTACAGCCTCTCTCAGGAGTATCTAAAGCCAGAGGATCCCTCAGGAAGGTGGAGAGGACAGAAGCCTGGGGAGGACTCTAGATGTGCTGTGTGTGATTTGGATGAAGCCTATGCATAGCAGGGTGAGGAGCTGATGGCCACGAGGAGCTGGGGCCATCTGGGCCCTTTCATCTACTCATCTCTAGAAGAACTCCTGGTCCTTTCACAGGGGGAATTGACAGGTCTGTTCCTTCCTCTCCATCCCCAAAGAGGTGTTGGGAGGATCCTGTGTCAGCTGTGGTTGTGAGTTGTGGTGGCATTAACACTGGAGAGGTGGCAAGGCAGAGGCAGCAGCTGTGGCAGGGTGTTGAGAGGGTGGTGCTGGGAGCAGCAGCCAGCACAGGATGTTTTCTGCCTTGCTCAGGCTGTTGTTTGTGCAGACCTGCACAAACACTCCAACCTGCTCACACACCTTCCTCGTGCTCCCTGCGTGCCAGCTTCTCTTGGCCCTGTGTCTTTGCAGTCTGCCTGCACTTGATGATGCATTTACTGCCGTTGTACAATAATTGTGCTTAAAGAAGACAATATGGAAAATGGGAAAATACATTCAAAGAACTGAACAAACTCACTTTACAGGAGTTCATTATGTTGCTACCCAGCCTTGCAGAGCCTGCGTGGCTCCCATCACCAGGAAGCATGGCTGAGATGGGGGGAGCCATGAACAGCCTCTCAAGGCACCCATCATGTCCAATTATTAAGAGACTCAAAAGCAGCTTGGGCATTGATCTGTGAGCTGGC